CATCACGGTGGCGCAGCGCGAACTTGAGTGCGTAAGGATACCGCATGTTTTTGTAGAATTAATTCCTAAGCGCGGCCGAGGCCTGTTTGTACTTAACGTCTACAGTAAACCCACGCTACAGCACCGATTTGGGGAGCTGCTCCGGAGAGCAAGCACGGCCGCCAACGGCGCACCTCTGCTAGTTGCAGGTGATTTTAATGCGCCCCATGGGGCCTGGGGATACACGCGTGAAACGCTCAAGGGCAAACACCTTTGGGAAGACTCGCAAGACCAACGGCTTGAACTGATCGCGAACCCCGCCGATCCGACGCGCCGGGGTAACAGCGTGAGCGCAGACACGCTACCGGACCTCGCGTTCGTGTCGAATGTCACCGCGGCGTCTTGGCAAAACACGCAGGAGGACTTAGGGAGTGACCACTCTCTGATAGAGATTACGGTAGACACGGGCCCGAGCGTTCGTAGAACATACTCTGAAAGCACAGGCCATAAACTCAAATTAGTGCAGTGGGACGCGTTCCGCAAAAAGCGAGCAGAAGGCGGGCGAGGCGACGAGCCGATCACGGATATAGACGAGTGGACCGCGACGCTCAATCGGGACGTAGACGCGGTAACGTGCCACATCCCGCCCGAAGCGAAGCTCGAAGTAATCGACAGCAGGCTCCTACACATGTGGTGTTAGAGATGGGAAGGAAGGTCGATCGCTGATGGCATCCCACCGCTGCCACCAGTTGTTAGATGTGGGAAGGAAGATGTTGCCGGTGATAGCATCCGGATGGAGGAACTGAACGCAGACAAGAGGATACGAGAAACATAACAGAGGTTTATGACATTATTTACACTTATTTACAGAAAAAAGGGATAGTGGTTTAACAAACCACGAGCGTGGTGGTTGAACACTACATAGTTCAGAGCCAGGTTCAGAGAGCGCCGTCCAGCACTCTGCTGCTTCGTTTTATGCCCTGTCGGGCTCCTCCTCTCCGAGTCGAACACCAATCACGCACACACAGGTGAGGGGGGCGAGCATGCAAGGTCCACGTGAACACTGCACTGTCGTGGCGCCAGCAGGGCTGGTCCTCGTCGTGGGTGTGCCGTTTGACGAGCGTTCCCACGATCCTGGCCGCATACTTCAAAGGGTCCACTGCACAGCTCGCCCAATTAGCGGGGTAATTTGCGGTGGCCGTTGGTCTCCTCCAGGAAGGTGCTGTCTCTGTTGGCCTCTCTCGAATGGTTAGCGGCGTCTTGGCGACACGACGTCTCGCCCTCCGGCTAGCACGTACAATGCATGACGAGCATAGGCAGTCTGCCGGTCGGCTTGGTGAATGGGGATCAAAAGGGAGCGCCGCTCCTCGGTCAGCTCCGGCGCCGGGCAAGCCAGCCCTCCTGTCGCCCGACGAGTCGACGAGGTCATCAGTCACGCTGCTGCTCGAAGGGACGACCAAAGGGTCCGCACTTGAAGGACGGGACTCGCCTCTGCCCGCCGCCTGGTTGGGACAATCACTCAAATACTTGACAGCGTCGGTAAGACTGGGCGCCGAAAAGATTGAGAGATGAATCCCCAGGCCAAACCTAACAGTGGGAAGCAAAGCAAGCCCTACTCAAGAGGTGGAAACGCCAAAGACATAACCGGGCGTTGAGGAAACGCATAGCACGGTTAGACAGAGAAATTGAGGAACATGCGTTCCAAGTCTGTAGGTCACAATGGGAAGACCTGTGCAACGGCCTCGAGCGACAGATGCGCGGGGCGAGTGCTTGGCGCCTTTTCCGGCACCTATTGGATCCGGAAGATACTCGTGCCGCTCAAGGCCATAAAACTCGGAGACTTGTGAACGATCATAAAGGCGATGACCTGCTCGGTGAAATACGTGACCGTTACTTTAAGTCGCAGAGAGCGTCCAACACCCAGATTATGACGGCGTTGCTAATGAGCAACTAGACGCCGAATTTAGCGAAGCGGAAATACGGGCAGTCCTTTTTGAACTACACACCCGATCGGCGCCCGGCCTGGACCGGGTTTCGAACAAGGCTCTCCGCAACTTAGATGACGAGTCAATCTCCCGATTTGTGACTTATATCAACGAGTGCTGGCAACGCGGTTCCCTTCCTGAAGCGTGGAAAAGAGCTCGAGTTATCATGATCCTAAACCGGGCAAGCAGGTTGCGCTTGATAATCTAAGGCCAATTTCGCTCACGTCTTGTGTAGGAAAAGTTCTGGAGCACGCAGTCCTCAAACGCGTGAGTGACTTTCTCGAAGTCCGCGATGTATTTCCGCACACCATGCTAGGATTCCGCCGCAATCTCTCCGCACAAGACGCGTTGCTTCAGCTGAAGCACCACATTGTTGATGACATTACCAGCTCAACCAAGGCGATCCTTGGCCTATATATAAAAAAGGCCTTCGACAGCGTTAAACACGAAGCAATTTTAAACAGAGTTCAAACATTAGGACTAGGACAAAAAACATATAATTACATACGTGACTTCCTTGCCGGCAGACGCGTACGCGTCGTCGTTGGAGATGTGGAACTGCAAGAATTTGAGATGGGCTCGAGGGGCACGCCACAAGGCTCCGTAATTTCGCCATTACTCTTTAATTTAGTTCTATTGGGGCTACCCGAGAAATTATTAGGCATACAAGGATTGTATCACAGTATCTACGCGGATGACATCACCCTTTGGGTTCCCGGCGGAGGTTGTGATGGTCACGTCGAGCGTACGCTCCAGGCAGGTGTAGACGAAGTTCAGGAGTACTTGCGAGGAACGGGCCTCGAATGCTCGGCAACCAAGTCGGAACTTCTAATCTACAAACCTACAAGTAGAGGTCGCAAAACCCCGCGCGACGAGGAAAGGGAGTGCTACAAAATAAGCGTTCTATTGGCAGATGGCACTCCCATTCCACACGTAGACAAAATTAGAATTCTGGGGTTACACCTGCAGGCAAACGGCCATAATGGTGAGACGGTGCGAAGACTACGTCGTTCGGTAGACGACACGATCCGACTCCTACGTCGTATCACGAACAGACGTACTGGTATGCGCGAACACTGCGCGATCCGTCTAGTGCAGGCGTACGCAATAAGCCGTATAACATACGTTGCCCCCTACCTCAAATTGCTAGGCTCAGAAAAAACAAGATCGAATGTATAATACGAAAGGCTTTCAAGAGAGCAATTGGAGTTCGACTGAATGCGAGCACTGAAAAGTTACTAGAACTTGGACTGCACAACTCACTCGACGAGTTAATTGAGGCCCATGTCGTTTCGCAAAACGAACGCTTGTCGGGGTCTAAGACGGGTCGACACATCCTCGAGTCACTTGGCATCCGGTACCACACTCAGCAGGGAGAAAAAGCGGATGTTCCTGCCTCGGTTCGCGACCGCCTAATTGTTCCGCCGCTTCCTAAGAATATGCACCCGACGCATCACGTCGGGCGCCGTAACCAGCGAGCTAGTGACCTTCAAAAGAAGTATGGCACTAGCGACGAAGTTGTGTACGTAGATGCCGCGAGATATGGGGACGGGAGACACGCACACGCCGCTGCGGTCGTTGACCGTGCGGGCAAATGCCTCGCGAGCGCCACGGTGACCACGGGACATACGGAGGCGGCCGAAGAAGCCGCGATAGCCCTAGCAATCGCCACGGTGCCGAACGCTACGATCGTATCAGCGACTCGCAGGCAGCAATCGCAGGCAGCAATCAGCGACTCGCAGGCAGCAATCTGCGGCTTCGCGCGCGGCCGCGTCTCGCGGGAAGCGGCCCGCATCCTTAAGATGTGCGGTGATGGTGACTCAGCGTCGCGATCGCCACAACAAAATTTAACAGTCTTCCTCCTTTGGACCCCGGCACACACCGATGTCCCGCTTCCGGGCAACGAGGCGGCCCACGCCGCGGCTCGAGGTCTCACTCGCCGAGCCGCGGCACATTCCGTGGCCGCCGCCTCCGCTCCCGAGAACGGGGCTTCTGATCTGCCGGATCGAGACACTTCGACAGACACGCAGCGACATCACAGACCACAATGGTCGTGGGGTGATCGTCTCATCACGTTCCGAGATATTACGCAACACTACAGACAGACTGGAAAGGCGAAAGTTCCCGCCACCGCATGACAAATTAAACAGACACGATGCCGTAAGCTATCGCTTACTACAAACCCACTCTTACCCCAGCCCGGTCGTCTTACGCCACTGCTACCCGCACTTACACATTACCGATCTATGTAAAGCATGCGGGCACAGAGCAACGCTGCGCCACATGCTCTGGGAATGCGCCGATAACAATGGTCGAGAAACGGCCGCCGTTCGCGATGCGCCTATGGCGGCTGCCAATACCAGGCAACAGGAAGCCTCGAGCTCACTCGTTCCCGCCGCCGTCCCGTCTGCGGGAGCCGCGGGGGACCTTCTCCGTCGGCGACGCCGCCGCTGGGAGGCGGCGCTCAGAAGCTCGGAGCTCAACGACCAGCTCTGGGCTGTCCGGCAGGCCGAAGATGCCGCCCGAGTTCAGGGACTCAGCGCCGCCATCTGAGGCCACCAAGACCAAGCTGCCGGCCAAGTTCTAATAAAGTTTCCTCTCTCTCTCTCTTCAACAACACATCCTTCTACCAGGACAACTTGCATCGTCCTTTTGAATGCATTGATTGCAAACTGAAAGGTGTAGTGCACTTCTACCTTATTAAAAGGGTGTGAGTGTTTCCGTACATCCTCAACTATTCGTGCAAGTAAGTGACGAGCTTGCTAGTAAAATTATGCTACTACTATGATGATTGCTATGCAACTACTTATACGATTACATTGACTACTTTGGCACCTTCCGTGACGTTTTGCAGACACCACAGGCAATGTCTGCTAGTTAAAATCAATCTATGAGGTATACATCGCTCGCGGGATCGTTCAAAGAAAATGAGCCAGCGGAAATGAAACATCAACTTATTTCAGACGAGTGAAACGCCATGAAGGAACGGTGCCATTCCTTACCGCTTCGACTGAGCTTTAGCGTAGTGATCACGTGTTTGGCTGATACTCTTTTATTTTCATTTATGTTTTCCTTTCAATCACAATACTCTTACACTCTCTCGTAACTTCATTCCTCAATGCAGAGGAAGCTGCATAAGCACACATGAAAAGCATGTGCTCTATACCCCGGGTATCCGGCGCGTCGCTTTCTTTACACGACGTGTCCATGGTGGAATTCCAACTGTCCTTCGAGATGCTAAGCCTTGGTTCCTTTTTTCTATTTTTTGCACAGCGTGAAAAAAAAAGAGTGAAAGGGGGAGAGTGGGCTTCGATGTCATCACGTGACTATCCATACCGCCTTTCTTTTCATTACTCCAAGCTAGCGTGGTTTTGACGTCGCTTTATAGTCTAGCGCTGCTCGTTTGCTTCGGTCAGCCACTGCCGCAGAGAGGCGATCTGTGCCACGACGCTCTCCTTTGCGGTTCCACCGGTCGCCTTGTATTGTTCCACAGAGTGTTCATAGTTCCACAGCTCGGCCAAGTCGTCTTCAAAGAGCTCCCTGCAAAGTCCAGTGGAGGGCACGACTGTCACATGCATACACCGCCACTGCAGGTATACCTTGCAAAAGCAGCCCTTTACGGTAATTTTAGGCCGATTCAGAGGAAAGGTAGTTGACGTACAATTACTGTGTCAGGCATGCTGGTTCACACCAATGAGATAAGTACACGAAATTTTAGTGGCGGTATCAGAGCCACATCGGAAAGAACTGCTTTGGTTGAAGGATACTTCATTTAATTACTGCTAATATTTATCGGCAACCAACTTTGCGTAGCAAGTGTTCTTGTAGGCCTGTAACATTCGCTTGGGCCATTCTTCTCAAAAATCAAATTAAGCGTGGAAGCACTCTGTGCTCTTGGTTCCAGATTCTCACAGAGAATTAACTGCCATACTCTCGATTATTCAAGCACGTTGTATCGAAGTACCCTTTCTCGACACCGAGAACGTCACCGATACCCTGGAAAGCGCCCTGGTAAGCCAGACAATGTACTAAAGAATGCAAACAGGTGGCGCCACTTTCTTGAAGTGGCCGCGCTAGCCAACTGTGACGTCATATTATTTAGATGTCTCAGCTAGAGCTTAGCTGAGGAAAGAAACTGTATGGCAGTGCCACTACTGTGACTCTCGAGGAAGTGCGTAGCACAAGAACCCAGCGATTCCCGTTCATATCGTTCACACTTCTCCGTTTACCATAGCGTCGACGACGGCAGTGTTTGAAGCACGAAATAAATCGCGTACCCGGCGACCACTTTTCTAGGCATTTAAGCAAAGGCTACAGAGCCAAGTCGCGTGCGTGCATCCTACCGGCAGTGAATAGCGCCCGTATTTTCAATGCAAAATACCATAGCTAGTTCCTCCTTTATTTTCTGCTTGGAGCTATTTGAGACAAAACACTGCACAAACCACCAAAACAGTTGTACTTACATAACTTTACAGCGTTTTCGGACGCATCCGAAAGTCCCGCCTTTTACGTGTATCTGAAGCGTGGCGTCTGCTTCTACATGAAACGCTGATGGTGCGCCCCCGTCACTTTCCACAGCGTTAAGGGGACACTAATGTCGAATAGCAATTTACGTCAGAGTGAAAGTTCAATGCATGACAACAACTAAAACGACAATATTATCAACAACAGTCCCCTACTTATCGCGAAACTTGGGTAAATGCGCAAGAACACAAGTGCCGCAGCAGGACATTTTCAAAATGATCCCGATGACATCAGATGGACCGCCTACAATTAATCACTAGTAATCGATCTAACTGCATTAAATAAAGAGCCTTCCGTGCATCAAGAGACGAAATGAAATGCTGCTTGTTCGTTTCTGCTTGATTCATAGAAGTAAAGAACCACCCGAAGTTAGTACGAAAAATGGCACGAGTGATTCAAAAATTCAATTTTTGCGTGGTTACACGGGACATGTGGTGTCATCTAGCGGGGCGCAGTTGAAACAAAAAACGTATTCAATCTCGAAGCCAATGGCGGGAAATTGATCAATAGCCGTTGTTGATGCTGTTGCTCCCGCTGCTTTCGGTCTGCTGCTACTAGCGTAGTAAAGCCGGGCAACGTTGTGAACGGCAACAGTGACGTGAGTCTGTCCGGTCGGTACGCTGCTTGAGGCGGGTAATTTGAAGTGCGCTAACCCGACGCGGACCATTAAAACGTGATTTTTATTCAAAATTAAGCCCTTCCTTGGCACAAAAGTAGCACTACAAAGATCCGGGAATGCTATTTCAACAACCAATGTCGACTTAATAGTTGCCATTAGAGTCCCTTTCACAGACGCGCGCCAAATCAGACTTCTTCGCGTGGGGCTACATGTGCAGAAATCCCGCCCCCGTAGCTTTCCCTTCAATGCCAAGAAAAGTTGTCGCTGAGTATAGAGAGGTTCGCAAACTCGGGGTGCTACGTGTGCGCTACTTTTTGATGTGATTCATCGACTTCGTGCCTTTTACGATAATTTGATATACAGGTCGTCTGCAGAGAGTGATCAGGCTAAACTGACTTGGTTTCTCTATTGTGTACTTTTTTTAACTCTATTGACAATTCGCGTTGTTGAGCGAGTTGATACATAACTTCACAAACATAAGACGACGAGAACAAATTTATACGAGGCCGTATGTGGACGAAGGACAAGCTATAGACAGCAGCTCTTGTTCGGGAGAGCAGCTGCCATGTGTTTTTCTTTCCTCGTCGACACATGAATCGGTGCTCGTCGCTATTTCTTCGGTGAGCACTTTTGCTCAACCCTTTCGGCACAATGCAATGACACAGTACTTATTCACTTAACGTGGAGCAGTTAGGGCGCGATTGCATAGAACAGCTTGCTTTAACACGCATGTATACGAAACTCTAATAGCGAAGAAAAGGTCGCATTGTGACATGAATGCCTGCAAATTTTGGCAGAACCTGAACAAAAAATATATTTAAATGTGGAACGAGGGCAAAAATAATAAAAATAAAGAGAGGGGTACATTCCCTTTGTAAGAAACAGAATAAACACGTGACTAAGGTATATGGCTTTAGCTTACTTATAGCCATGTATTAGAATTCGAACAAGACAGGCGTCCTGAAAACCACCGCCCATGCACCCAGTACACATCGTTTGAGGGGCCCTCTAAAGCTTGAAAACATCGGAGCTGACTGCATAACGCGGCAGAGAATAGCAGGCGCTAGACCAAAGTTGCACTGTTCAGTCGAGTTTTCCAGTCTGACTGTAGTGCCAGAATACATAGCCTAGCGGATAAAACGAGCAACCTTGAGACGGCCTCGGTGAAAATGGAACGCGACACGCGCGTCTCGCACCCTGCATCTGTCGGCGGATTGTGGCCGGGATACATGGAGGACGCGAGCACACGTCTTTTTTCTGCGTGCCCCTAACGGCGAATGTCAACGACTTTGGGACGTTGCAGTGTGAGCAACGAAGCTCCCTCTGGTCAGTGTGCGGTGCCTATAGCCGATGTTGGCTAGACGGTCATGCGCTGAGCGTGTGAGCGGAGAGTCGTAGCGAGCGAAGGATCACGTGACGCGACGGGAAACGACCAAAATGGCAGCATCTTGGCAGCGAGTACGTGCTGCTCGGGAAACGCAGTAATCGTTCGGCAAGCACGCAAGCACCGACGGCACTTCAGGACACACAAGGATCTGTGCCTCCTCCGAGAAGTCGTCGCAGCCAATCCCTTTGGAAATCTGGGCATGTGGATGACGTTCCACGCAGCGATACTTCGGCAGCTGACTCTTCGGGCCATAAAGGATTGATTGATGATTGATTGATATGTGGGGTTTAACGTCCCAAAACCACTATATGATTATGAGAGACGCCGTAGTGGAGGGCTCCGGAAATTTAGACCACCTGGGGTTCTTTAACGTGCACCCAAATCTGAGCACACGGGCCTACAACATTTCCGCCTCCATCGGAAATGCAGCCGCCGCAGCCGGGATTCGAACCCGCGCCCTGCGGGTCAGCAGCCGAGTACCTTAGCCACTAGACCACCGCGGCGGGGCCTCGGGCCATAAAGGAGCGTCTCGAGCTGCTGCTTTGGTACTTTCGCTAGAAGACTCTGCAAACCTTCGTTAGTAAGCGATTTCATGTATATGTATGTGTGTGTATTAGTAATAATTTCGTTCTTAACAGCATACATTTTCAGAAAGGCTGTTTAGTTTGATTTGCCACAAGGCAATGCAGTGAACGCGCTGCCTCTGGGCAGGGCGTTTGAAATGCGTTTTGGCTGCCTTGAATTGAGGCTTCGATTGTAGCTTAGCTCCAAGTGAAGGTGACAAAAAAAATTTCAAATGCTCATGCGTCAAACAGGAAATGGTTGCACACTCTTTTAAAACAGAATTTTCTATCTTGCTGCTTCCTTTACAACAACATTGATGCGCCGGTGGCGTCACGATTGCGTTGGCCGAACGACGCATGAATGTGCGCGTCTGTGTTTTGTGGAATATGCGCGTCTGTGATTTACCGCCCGCGAAAGCCATGGCATCAGTGTCGCCACATGTGCGTGCGTGTGACTTGAGTGTATCAACGTGGCAATCTTGGTGATCTTTAGTGATATGTACTGTGCTGCGCGCCTACATGAGTTATGTACGCATGGACGAGGCGCGCGAAAGAAGCGACCAACGGAACTTGCACGTGACACAGTACGAAAGCAAACAAACCAGGTGTAAAGAACTTGCAGTGGTGCGTGCATTATGAAGCGAATTATGGTCATTTGGTGTCTGTGTGTAATTATATGACGTGTTTCTATTGGCGCAGCTGTGTCATGTTAACGGAATTATATATCCACCAGCCCAGAACCGTATGTGCCAGGTGGAATCATTCATTTTGTAAATTAGTCTCACGCTCAATGCACGAACGCAGTGCGATATTCTTCAGACCGAGGAATGACGCACGCTACGTAATAGGGAGGTTTAGAATAGCGCACCGCAAGCCCTTATATGCGGTGCGGTCGCACATGCGTCGTAACGTGAGCCGCTCTTCGTGCTTGCGGTTCGCTCGCCGAAAATTCGAAATAGCGTGCGGCCCGCAAGGCCCGCAAAGTGGTGGTGTTATGTGTATCCGTGCATTTGGATTTGCGGGGAGGCTAAAGTCCCTAGATTTTTCATTGGGGGAAAAAATGGGGGGGGGGGGGGGGCAAACGCTATTTTAAAACTGGTGTGGCACCCTCTACGCCTGCGAACGTTATTCTAAACTGTGTTGATACCTTTGCATCAATCGTTATCAATGGAGCGATTATGATCAATTACGATCGATTGCATCGATCAAAATCGTTATTGAAGCGATGCCGGTAGAAGTATTATTTAGCGAAAAAAAAAACGATTTCGTTTTTTAAAGTTCTGTAACACACTTTAAAATATCAGATTAAGAATTTTACATTTGTGTAACTCGCACTTATTTTTGGCATTTTGCCTATATTGCGCGCATGTATTACATAGTGTTAATTTGTTTACATTAAAGTACTGTAGAGTAAAATAAGACATGAATAGTGCATCGCACTCCCCTGTGAAAACGATGTCGGGCACGCAATTCACTGGCATTCACAGGAAAGAGGATATTCTCTTGCATAACGCATTTGCAGAGACACATGAATAGAAGGTAGTGGCCCCTGCTCAATCAAAACTGGGTCGCCTTGAAAAAAAAAGTTCGAAAAGGTCAAGAGTGCTGACGGGTCATGACAACACCAGTGTAAGTGGTCGAAGCAAGAAAAAAAAAATCACGTACTGTCTTTGGTTGCCGTCACTTTCGTCGCCTACATCGCCATGGCATGAGCGTAACGATAACCAAAACGTATGCAACGACCTTTCGTTGAACGCAATGTGCGTAATGGGCTTTTATTTCATGGAAACAATGCGGCAAATCGAAAATTGGCGTTTACCTCAAACGCGACGACCGGCATGGCGACGCGAGACACGCATTCTGTATCTACGGCACCACAAAGTCAACCTCAGATCACTTCGCCATTCTTGTCTTCGAGTCATAGTTGCCATTATTACAGCAGACAGCGAAGAAATTTGGTGGAAGAAGTTTCGTAAAACGAAAAAAAAAATTGAAATGACCTTGTAAAATGGGATTAATACCCCTGTTTCATTTTGCACAGCCGCAAAAGAACAATTCCTTTATGTAAAGCTATACGTTAAATGTGGCGTTGTTTGTTTCGGTGCACAATATGTCCCGCACAGAAACTTCGCTTTCGAGAGATGTACAGTATGGTCCACTGTTAAAGGGAACACTCGAATGCACACCATCAATATTCCCGGCCCTCTAAGAGCAAGCGGATTAAGAAACAATCTTCATGCAAGTCAATAGTCCGTGAAGAGAAGTATAGAAATTTTAACCACCAGTGGCCTTATGCATATCTAAGCCGCTATGATTCCATAAGGTAGCGAAATCTAAACATGCTGCTCACGTAGGTGTTCCTTTTAACAGTGGACTCGTCTGTACATTACTTCTTCGTGGACTCCGAGATTAGTGCGGTGGGCGATGCGCTTTAAACAAAACATATATTTCTAAGCTGACCTTAAACTGCATGCCTTTACAATTTTTATATCGAGCTTCGGTTTCTCTTATTCTGTTATCAATAGAGTGTTGTCAGATAATGGTTGTATCCGTCAAAATTATTGTCATTGTTTAGGCACTACTTTTTTGTAGCACGGAGGCATGGAAACTAAGAGTAATGGGGCCTCGTGGGCGGAGCTTATATTTATTCTTAGGTTGTTACCGACTATAGGATGTTGGTTCTATAGTTCACTATAGCAGTGTGGCAAAGATGAAAACGTTCATGTTGAGGTACAAAGCCTCTTCTTCTTCGCAAAATGGTAAAAAAGCAATCAGATTGTAACTGGGACGGCTTTCTGCTCTCCCACTATTAACTGCCAACTACTCTAAATCATAGATCATTTTTTCCACGCAAAAGAGAACCTGTTTTATAACGCGTACAAATTACTTATCAACGTGTTTTTTTTTTTTCGCTCAGACGGTTCTTTGATTTCCTATAGCTGAGTACGATATACTCGAAATTATGAAAAACTTTTTCCAAACACACTTATCAGCATGTCTTACCCCTTTCCGCACAAGGTAGTAAGCGACATCTGTTGCCAGCATATCCGGGCTTAGAGCAGATTCACAGGCAGCTTTGCACACCTTGAAAGAGAGGAAACATAGTCAACATGTCTCTAACCAATGAAGACTTCGGTTACTCTACACCTTCAATGTTTCCATGTTACCGGCGGCCACTTCCAATGATGCGGCCAGGGTATCATAGGCGTCGAACACGGCTTCTTTGTCCTCCTGAAAAGCTCGAAATCAGAGAAGGTAAAACGAAAATTACGTTGGACGCGTAGACTTACAAACTCCAACTACAAAAAAGCACGTGTCTTTCACGTTTTCTACAAATTATTATAATTATTATATTATAAAGTTATTACACTTTGCATTTCCCATGCCCCTCCTGCGTGGCTCCTTGCTTAGGCCTGCAGTATGTCACTAATAAAAAAAAATACGAGTATATGCTTTACTAAACTTAGCGTGCACTGTTTATTGACGCTCGCAACCAATGCCGAAAAGACCGCGATATATTGGATACTGATTCATCATGCAAACAATCGTCTTAGAATTATGCTAAAACCATGCGTCTTAATGACGGCAATATGATTGGGTCTGGTGAGATTTGCGATGAAGTAAGCCGCGAAGTGTCGATTTTGTCAGCGTGCACTAACTCTGGGGGATGACAACTTACTTCATCGAAAGAATATGTACATATGCAAACACACACTTGCGTATGTACAAGTGAACTTGTGAGTGATTACGTTGTTGGAACATTATACTTCTTGCTATTAGTCGCACCATGAGTAGACGTTTAGATACCGCAAACTGGCGAATACGTCTTGACATAATTGACACGCAGAAACACAATCAGTTAGAAGTACCTGAATGTCCTTGTTGTAGGTGCTTGGTAGGCCTTTGAGAACCATTAGGAAACCGACGAGCTACGAAACAAAGCAGAACAAAAACTATATTTGTATACCTTTCCCTCTGCCGTTCGCTGTAACACTCTTTATGTAGTGCGATTGTAGCACACTGATTCAAAAGAAAAATGCAACCATCTCGACTTCACGGACGCCCATGAATCAGCGAAGATGGCGGCGTTCACAGTAAACTGGTTTGCACACGTAAGGGTGCTTTGCTTGTATATAACTCTAAAATAAGGCTTTTTTCTGGTTTGTTAAAACACTCTTGTAGTCGGGTGTTAGTTTTAGACACGCACACACCCTTAAAAGGGTTGTGAAACGGTCGCTTTACAACGACAATGCCACACCATCGGCAGCCACCTGCGCTAACTATGTCATCAGCCCGAGTGGACCTGCATAGACGCTTTGCCTATGTCGAGGAACGCGGAACTATATATGGCATATTGAGCGCGCGGAAGAGGCGCTCATCGGCGTCTGCCGTATACGTGATCCGCGTCCCACAAGAAGCTGCTTAAAGGCTGTTTCACATGCCGCGATTGCAGCGAAAAAATCATTCCGTTCGCTCCAATCGCTCTGTTCGCAACCGTCGCTAATGGCAGTTTCGTTTCACATGGACCGCGATTTTCGCTCTGCAACTGGAGCGGTGAGTTCTTGACACCGCTCATTATGACAGACACGAATGTAATGTAATAGTATGTGCATTATGATATCATGAATTTACCGTGAACGGTAATGAAGGGCTTGCTTATTTCGTCATTTCAGAACACTTTCAAGTCTGAATTCCTTTTAAAATGCACAGCATCGGCCATTACCAAAACAAACACTCCGACTCTATTTCGACGGCTTGGCCGGACCAGCCCTATTTCGACTGGTCCCGACCAAAAATCGCTCCCGCCGCTGCGATCGGAGCAAAAATTTCCAACATGTTGGAAGCTCGCCGCGGACCACTGCGGCGGGAGCGAACTGCCCATTTTTTCGCTGCGAGCGAATTCACAGCCTGAAAATCGCTTCTTTTTGTGTCATGTGAAACGGCCTTAATATGACGTCAGAGTTCAAGGTAGTGCCAATGGCGTATGGCAAAGACGCTGATGGGTGTCCCGGTTGCACGCACTCGCAAGCACCGAAGAGTTCCGCGTTCCTCGATAGGCAAAACATTACTTATGATGACGTCACCTAGTTAGTGCGTGTGAACGCCGGTGGCTTCGCATTGTCGCTTTGGAGCGAGCGTTTCACGACCCCTTTAAAGGGAAAAATTGTTCACTGTGTTCCCTTCGTCAGGCTAACACCCTTCGTTGTTTTCAAGTCTTTCAGATGCGTTGTATCAATGCTCTTTATGGAACACTCTTTGTTAAGCTTTGAGGTGATAGAATGGCTACCACCTTTTTCTAACTTCAAAGTAGCACGTGGAATGACAATGCCAAGCACATGCCATTTGTTGCGTCAGCATTTGTTATCCTCTTTTGTAGTGGAAGTTGCGTGCAGTGGGACTTACCCATTTTCTGAGGAACATGCTCGTTTAGGATTATGATCTTTTTTTCGGTAGGCTGCACTGACTTCTGTAGCACAAAACCGTTTGTTGGGATAGCTGTTGTCATTTTAGGGGCGAAGCTCCTAAATGCGTGGGTCTGTCCATCCCATGTATGTATGTATGTATGTATGTATGTATGTATGTATGTATGTATGTATGTATGTATGTATGTATGTATGTATGTATGTATGTATGTATGTATGTATGTATGTATGTATGTATATGTATATGTATGTATGTATGTATGTATGTATGTATGTATGTATGTATGTATGTATGTATGTATGTATGTATGTATGTATGTATGTATGTATGTATGTATGTATGTATGTATGTATGTATGTACGTACGTACGTATGTATGTATCTATCTATCTATGTACGCGACCGCCTATATAGTTCCACCTTTGCGAACTGCCCACTACTTCGTCCTTGCAAACATCCCAATACGCCCCATTACCGATCCACCACTTCGCCAACCATAAAGCCGTTATAATAAAGGGGGAACGGAAGCGACGTATAGCTACGACTTACGAATAATAAAATTTTATGTATAAATATAAACAGTGTTTGTCACGTCTTTGATGACGCAGTGGGCGATATTCACGGATAGTTCACGGTTTAGCGATGAAACCCTCCATGCAGCGCTTCGCCCCACTCATCACCATTCCCTGCGTGGATAATTCTTTTAGTTGGCAAGTGGTGAAAGTATTACCCAATGTCTGTTGCGCATATAAAGGCACACATAGGATGCTATCTCTGGGCGTCTTCTGCGTCATAGTTATAGTTGTGCTACATGAAAGACCCGCAAAATGTTAGACAAAGCTCAAAATTTCCACACGGCTGGCTTTGCGTTGTGTTAATATATAGTTCTATCGTGGGTACCGTCTTCGTAACTCAATACGTCCTCGTTTTTTTCATATTTTTGTTGAAATGTGCTTTTTTCCAAACACCCCGCAACAGGAAGTGCGTCAGAAGAATGCACTGTTATAAAAAAGTATGCAATATAATCAGTGGACTAGTATTAAATTATGACAATGCGATAGTTCCAGTGGTGTTGGTTATTAAGTTAGCCGGCGGCTAACACCAGTCATCAGGCAGCCATCATTTAGCCAACATTCGCGACCCCTTACAACATTGTCCAGTGCGGGCAGTGTACTTAAAAACAAAAAAGAAAAAGCAAGTATATATGTTACTCTTTTCGGTGAGTCCTCACTTTACTGGCTATTTTTAAAAATGTCTCTCGTTAAAAACACACGTTAACTCTCTCTTGACTCTCACGTCTCCCCAAAGAGAGTATAATAATCTTGAAAATAGTTCGATTATTTCTTTAAAGAGAGTCATATATGAGGCAAGTCAGGACTCACAAAAACAGTGGATGTTGCTCGGGACGACTTCTACTAGAGACAATTTGAATGCACTCAGGAATTATTGTCACCGTCATTGCGTTACAAAATTAGGTATTAGTGACTCGGTGGAGCAGCGCGTTCAATAAGAAAAAATGAATAACTAAAAAAATGCAGATGAATGAATCCTACGTGTCCGGAAATCCTGCCGGTTTTGCCGCGTATGAGCTCAAGTCCATCTGGGTTCTTCTTCTGTGGCATCAGGCTGCTTCCCGTGCTTTATTATAGAAACGGGAAAAAATTATAAGCACATCAATTTCGGGGAAGGCAATATAATGAAGATACAGCTACTCATATTCACTATTTGGAATGCTCTAGATGTAAACGAAAGTTTTTCGTTTGCAGTCCCGAACGGCGAACATCTTCATGTAGTACATGTGTGTTTTTCTGTGTACCTTGGGTTTCTTAGCTACTGAGTGATCAACCAAATAATACATGACAGTGATCTGATTGCAGTAATTATAGTGATTCTTAAATCTTCAGGCTAAAAAGCTTAGTCAACGTTATATGCTTATGGAGCCATATTTACATAAGCGCATAATCTACAGTTTTAGCGCCTGTCCTGTGTGATTCGCGCTATTCACAAAAATTAATCCCCTTAATTTAGCTTAATTTGCAGTTTTGTTTGTCTACTTTTATTTCAACAGGGCGCATGAGGCTGTTATAATAAATTACACTCTTAAATCAACACAACATTCTTGCCTTAAGAGCAAGCTCTGTGCAGCCGGAAATTAAAACCGCAAAAATGGCAGCGACGCTACTTTCAAGTTAATAGCTATGACGTCACTATCTTTGCTGATATTTTTCTCGAAAAAAGAAACGTTTCATAAGAACAAAAATAAAAGAAAACTGTGCAAGTTCTTTGAAGATTTCTCGCTCTAAAGCAGACCAAATGCAAGACGTAACATGGCGGGCACATGGCGCTACCATAACGTGCAAGTGTAAGATACAGCTTATATATAGTAAAATGTAATAAAATTACAGCATCGTTTTAAACCGGAAACACGTGCTACGCGCAACCATACAAGTGTTGTCCGTGTGCATGTTTTAAAAATGCTTCAGTTTTGTGTGAGATTGGTGGTTTCCTCAACATTTATATTTTATTCTGTGTCTTTCTTATGCTTTTTTATTTCAGTGTTTATAAAGTGAAAAGTGTCATTAGGGAAAATGATGAAACGCTCAGAGTTATCACCTTCAAGCAATTTGGTTACAAATCTAACCTGAACTATATTGTTCCTTTATGTAATTTCTCCGTTGTGCGTGCAAATATGACACAGTACAGGTGTACAGAATATTTTCGAACGTACGCGGCGTTTACCTGTAAGCGTCGTCGAGAGTAACGTATCCAAACTCGGCTGAAGAGTAGAGAATCAAGTCTTCGGCCCACTTGCTGAGGTGAACCGCGGTCAGCGAGCAGGCGAACAGGAACTCGGCTGCACACAGCAACATGAAGTTCTCGCCCTGAACGCTATATAAACCAGTGAGCTGTTGCTGACTATACGGCGAACTCATAACGCACACTCACCGACAAAGTCTCTGTCACTGACTGCGGTGATGCTATTCTGAATGACACCATCGAAGAGAAGGTCTGCGAGAGTGAAATCACATTTTTTTTTTCAGACGTGATTTAACTGTGCACAAGTGAAGTTGGCTGTTTTAAGGCAGTCACGCGTTCAATTTCATTCGTATTCACCTTCAATGTCCGGAGGCTATGATTACATAAGGGGTGATGGAGCGTAATTTATTTGAAGACAAAATACAATTGCACCAGGGCAGGAAGCAGGTGACTGTCGGGACGAGGCTTTCTTACTCACGAATACCAAGTGAGAAAACCCATGAGAAACTTACCGGACGCCATTCTTTCCTTGTCGATCGGGAAAGGATTACCAGCAAGTGCACCACTGCAATGTATAGAGGAAGTGTCGTCGTTAAAGGTGTGCGCACATGCTGGGAGCGGGGTATATGGAGAATGTAAAATCGTGCCATAAGAAGCCTTCCATTCAAGAGCAGCATGTGGTGAAAAAAAGAAGATTAAACGTGTGAAGATGATGTATATTGCTACGTAGCATTCAATTTATAATGATTAATCATTCAGTTTTGAACTCAATTGTCACTGCCGCACTCGTGCTTGAAGGCTGCATCACCACATATTGGGGTGTCGCCTTCTATACTGATGCAGCCGTATACACAAGTTTCAATGAGCGCCATGGCATGCACGAAGCTGGCGTACCGCGATACCAGAAACAAGAATAATTGATTACTGGCTTCAAAATAGCGGTGCGCATTAGTTGTAGACTTGCCGAATAAGATGCAGTCGAGTTAAAGTTTACACCATAATATTTATATTACTACGCTTCATGACTAACGCGGGAGTGGGACTATACTCTGCGTTGAATTTACATTTGATACCCACCACTCATTTCGCGGGAGAAAGCACAAGACTGAGTCGATTGGCGGTACAAGTAGCCTTTGCACTCCAGTAGGCGTGATCAGGCTGATGATAGCGATTATGATGATGATGATGATGACGACGCATTTCGCATGCATGCCAGCCGGCCGTCACCGCCCTTAGGAAGCAGTTGCAGAAATCTTCACTCCTTCGAAAGAGGATGAAGACGCATCTTAGATATTTGCACGTAAGAGCGAAAACTTAGCTCTGCACTCTCTATAGGCATCCGCATCACTGCACGATTAATGCCACACCTGAGCTTCAAGAAGCTAGCGGCCTTATATGGAAGTCATCGCATTTCTAAGACGTCGTGCCATCGACAACAGGTATAAAACACCCTATATGGAGGCACGAAATGCACAGGACTGTGTTGCGCGCTTGGTTCGCCTTACCTTCCCAGAGGACACGTGTTCAATCTGCGCGAGAGATCGAGGAACCGTTCTGCGTCCTGCCGGAGAAACCACGCGTAGCTGCAAGGAAAGTGCGCACATGATCCATTTACTTTCCGCGGATAAAAATGCACGCTCAGGCACGTTCAAGCAAGCGGTGACAGAGATATATAGGAAAAGGAGGGGGGGGGGGGGATATCAACATTTCAGTGCGCAGGTGACTACACTGTTTATAACCGGCACACCTTCTTTCACATCAAGACGAAACGTTAAAAAAAATTATAAAGGCGTACGATAAACTGAAGTTTGAAAGTATGAAAATTCACATCCCTAATATGCATGCAGTTTACTGCTTATATACGTTCTTTTTCGATGTTATAACGCATTCTACAGCTCACTCATATAACATAAATCTTCACAAAAGAGATATAAACGTGCGATGCTTACGAAATGTTCATTTCGTAGTTACACATGTAGTACGGATAATATAAAACATAAAAAAAGAAGCGCAGCAGGAGCCAATTATACATAGTACGAGATTTGTATTGGAGAGGAACGTACTTCATTATGCAAAACCAACTAGCCCAAAGTTTCACTCTACTATAACGTGAGTGCAGTTCCTACATTTGCTCACTGAAGGTGGACGTTTCTATTTGTCCGGAGTCGCTGCCATGGTAAAGGACGACAATAATAGTGGCCTTGCGTGCTACAGGTCTGAGACTCCACCACTTAGAACGCTGCCCACAAGTTCGAAAACAGAGTAAGTAACCACATTTTGGCTTCTTTACATGCATGAGGAAAACTAACGAAGATCTTGTACAGCCATTCATTACAATTATCGAAGAACATTTCTGTGAATGATCCCACAAGAGCACAATAGTCTTCTTTGTTTTATTTCACTGACGAATGTTAATTCAAGTGATATTATTTAAGGTGTTTTCAGCCTCGTGAGCAAAATAACATGAACAATACAATTCGAGGCGCGCTGCAGAGCGGTGGTGAGGTAGAGGTATAAATATGCCAAAAATAGGAACTTACGCAATGGGAAATACATATCGGCATTGTCGCTGCAATACCATGAAAAATATTGGTGGGATGTTTATTGATATGTGGGGTTTAACGTCCCAAAACCACCATAGGATTATGAGAGACGCCGTAGAGGAGGGCTCCGGATGTTTCGAACACCTGGGGTTCCTTAACGTGCACCCAATCTGAGCACACGGGCCAACAACATTTCCGCCTCCATCGGAAATGCAGCCACCGACGCCGGGATTCGAACCCGCGACCTGCGCGTCAGCAGCCGAGTACCTTAGCCACTAGACCACCGCGGCGGGGCAAATATGGGTGGGAACATGAGATCAAGTGCATGGCAAACAGCCTCAAACTACAATTCTTGCGATGCGCGGATGTGGCTGTTAAAAACAATGCTTTTCAGCGAACTATACTCCAACGACGCGTCTGTTTTTTTTTTACCCGCGAAACGTATGCACGCAGATAACGTCTCGATATATTATAATAAGGCCTGTTGTACAGAGCTCACGCGGGGCGAAGAGTGGTACCGTTTTTTTTTTTTTTCAATAACTGTTTTGTTTCATCTTGATTTTGCGTGTGACACGTACATATACACGGCCGAGTGGGGGAACATATTAAGAGTGGTGTTTTACGCCGAGCTGTAAACAGCTGGCTGCCACAGACTGCCTCGTTTTGTTTTGTTTTGTTTTTCCATATCTTCGCTATTGGCAAGCGACGTGCACTTTGCCGCTATTTCGTATCAACATTGGCGAGGCGGGAGTGCCAATAGTTTGCGGAACTGTGGCGCACTTTCCAACAACGTTCATTCCCGCTTTCTGCGCGAGCGGTCGCCGTGATTCGTCCCACGTCGGGCTTGAGGTAGTGCGTTTGCCATGCGCTCGCGATTTCACTCCTCTCGGCAGTACATCATGTCAAATCAAGTGCGGCTACAGCCGAGCTTCACGTGTGGGTAACGACGCACATGTATTCTTCACATGCACATGTATGTGCATGTGAAGAATATGCACATGTATTCATGCACATGTATTCTTCTTCATTCAGCACAATAAAACTATTAGCGTTTGCGTTTGCGTTTGCGACGCAAAATTTGAGCACCCCAAGAAATTACCTGAAGGGGTATTTGCGCATGCTGCCCGAATTGCTTTTTTTTTTTCGTCTTCTATCTCAGAGTTCCACGTGAGCTCCGACTCGCATACTTTTTATACAAGAATTGTTTCGCTTAGGTATGCAGTGAATCTAAATTCCTGGTAATGTATAGCATCAGGTTGCTCGATCTGAAACAATTAGCATGATCCCGCGACCCGTGTCACGGTGGCCAGTTTGCCGAATGCAGTCCGTATACGGCATTAAAAGGTCGTATCAATGCACGGGAAGTCGCATGGTCCTCTATTAAGTTCACGAGAGTGCGCACTTTCCTTAACTTGTCTAGGTCTGAAAAAAAACGATTCCGCGGCACTTCCTTATTTTAAGGGACACTATAAAGTAAAGAAATGAATCAGTTTAGACTGACGAACTATATTACTTTTAAATCTTCGTTATTGTGAATTTCACCAGGTTTATGATTAGAGTAGAAAATCCATATCAGGAGTTTCACTTTTGAATTTCTGAAATCATATGGTGGCGTCACGGATCTCAAAGTGGTTTTCCGTATTTTGTACACACTGGCTCAATAAAATTTCCTGAAACTTGGCGTGTTATGTCTGTGGCTCCCTCGGAGGAAAAATGTACTTCATTTTAGAGGTGAAGCACCCTAGGACCGAGCCTCCTTGTCTGTCACGGGGGATTTGTGGAGGTGAACACGCACACATACGAACAAAAAAGGTTCAACAATAAGCTAATATAAATCATAATTGGGAGCGAACAATATAAAACGCCTAGAAGCACTAACCCTTTATACCAGTCAGTGACTTCAACGTATACAATCGCGATAAAATTACCAATTTACTGTTATCGCTGTTCCTGGGTAAATATTAATTGTAAATCACTTGCGGGACATTCACGCATACCAGTGGATACCGCCGATATGACGATGAATAAAGAGAGAGGTTTAGAATAGGCGAACAACAATCATAATTGTGGCGAAACAATGTAATATACCGACAATCGCGAACCATTTATACTGATCGACGACTTCAACGTAGGCATTATCGACGCAAAACCTAGCTTTGTCGTCGACTCTTTATGTCGCTTTATGTCACCTAATTTACATTATATAGAGCAACGCTCGGTTAACGCGTGGTTACTCACCATTACAATACCCACTTTTCACCATTCACTTCGTGGAGTTTTGTTTTACTGATCACGAACTACGTACGCGTATGCCTTTGTAGAAACCATCAAAATATATGACGTCATTGCGACTGGCGTGGAAACATTAAGATGGCGTGCCACTCACAATTCCTTTTTTTTTTTTCACCTGCGTTTTCTCGAGTATATACTTATTGCGTCTTTTCGTAGCAAGAGCACAGTTATTGGTGTCGTGAAACAGTAATTTATTAACACGAGAAAACTCGTTTTTCTATTTAGTATCCTTTTAAATGTTTCTAGCCAACGTCAGCGTATTTAATGAATACATGCTTATAACGATCATTGATTATAAGGACTGTATTTCAGTATCGAGCATGGGTTCGTTTTAAAGAGCCTCCACTATACTTAGTTTAATTTTTATGTTATGTGTATTTTTATTCGAGTTTCTTTTTTTCCGATTATTTTTTGAATGTACCCGCCTTACTGCGTAATACCCTGGCCCTTATGGATATTTTGAATAAATAAATGAGTAAATAAATAAATAAATAAATAAATTTTTCGTATATGAAGCCGACAAGCAATTGTGCCACCTACCTCAGCATCCAATGGGCGAAGCGAATGGGCTGAGCTTTTTGTACGTGCGTATATCCGGGCATGAGAACGTCGATATCTCTGAAAGGCACCCGATACAAAGACAAGTTGTGTACCTCTAAATAAACGTGCAAAGTTTTATGACTGGCGTAAAAGGCAAACAAACACGTTGACACTTATCTTCCCTTCCGTTATCAGGTGGATAGTACATATATGTGCTATCAGAGCGCGCTGCAATTTCTTTTTTTTCGTGCGTTCAGAGTAGCAGCAATGTAACAACGTTGAAACAAACGATATTGTGCAAGCAGCTAGCTTTTTTTTTCTGAAGGAAAACGATAAGCAGGCCAATCATATAGCGAATAAAAACGATACATAATTGGTAAAAGCAGTTTTAATCCATCGATAAACTGAAAGATGCTTTTTTTTCTTGGTAATTACGTCATTGTTCGGTTTCTTTAGCAAAAAAAAAAATATTCTTCGAGGGCTAGAGAATTCATTTATAAAGTAAGAAACAGAGTAGGAAAGAATACAAAAGGCTTCGGCGAGAAACTAACCCTGTAAGATCCACACGTTTCAAGCAGCATTCTTCATATTTGCAAGCTGTCTGACGGAAAACTCGTAAGCATCAGATTAACGCGCACAAAGAACGTCACAGCAAAACTTGCTCACGTTCTACTTCGCAAATACAGCACGTTCCAAGTAACACGCACCGAACCCCACCTGAAGGTTGATCATATTACGCAATAGCCTCAAGCATGTATAGTAGAAGTGGAAGATCAAGTTGGGCCCCCCCCCCCCCAATAATCTTTTTTTTATCTCTCGGTGATAATCAACTTCTTATTTGTGGTTATTCATCTAATTAACTAAAAAAGAAACAATATTGCTGTATTGCCACGAAGTCTGGCTTTTTTTTTTCGAATTTCGGTCTGAGCTACAATATTCAGACACCACAGTGTCGTACTGCATTACATGTCTGATTCTCGAAATGTCTAATAAACTAGAAGGAGCATCAAAGTAAAACGTTACGAACAATATGCTAACCACGTAGTTATGCAGTCAGCCTTTTTTTATTCAAAATGGCTGACTTTCACCATGCTTCGTCAATGGAGATAACTTCGGTGCGAGGGTATACAGCATCGCAACGTGCGCGTTTATAAAGCCGAAACACTACGAGCCCTTCGTTATACAGGTCACTTCGATGTAGAAGCTTCGTTGAGTATAGGGACGTTTGATTGCGCATTTTTCTGGGCTCTATAGGTGATGGTTATAAAGCGGCGGGAACAACAGCGCAGCGAAAGGTTTGGACAGGCACAGACAGTCCCAGATTTTCGAGTTCTCTGTCTGTCTGGATCATTTGGCCACCAGTGCAATAAAAGTAACTCGAATGGTCAGTACTGGAATAGCTTTGTTTGTTTATACTGTCTCTTCCAGTTGCGGTGGTGCTATCCTATACTCCAGATCTTGACACTTTTTGGCACTCTTTTTGTGAGCTTATCTTTTCGTGCTCAATAGTATACGTCCACGAAGGATTCATTCTAACCGCGTCTTACCTCTCTGCTCTTGTGCAGGCAATTTCGACGAAGTGCCTTATATGATCAATCAGGGTGGCAGCGGCTTTGCGTATCCACAACCTTAGGTCCGTGGCAACCTGCAGCGACGCCATGGACTATTCAGCGAGCACACACAAGTGTATAGTCTGTACGTCGCAAGCATTTATTCAGATGTAAGGCACAGCAAAGTGTATATGTGCGTTTGGAGGTCACCACTTTCCTCTTTTGAGTGAAATTGACACATCCTAATGTATCACTAACACGCTCACATGTTCGCGGATTGGTTCTCGTAAAGAAATGCTAACATATTTGGCTGTTTAATTTTGTGTTTCGAGGTCGTCTTGCTCGTTGGAACTTATTCATACACCGAGCTTCTAAGAAATACATGTATGGCTGAGTTTTAGGTGTGTTTGATTTCTTGATGTGTGATACTGAATCACCGAGCGTCTACGTGCAACAGCTTCGCATTTTTGTCAGAACAACGTATAAGTTTGCTAACGAAGTCTCTTGTTTTAGCTAAGAGATTACACGACATTGCATTAAATTACGGGCAAAAAAAGGATATATTCCATTTTTTTTCTATTATCTATGTCAACGCTACCATGAATAAGAGTTTTGAACTAATTTGGGTCTCGGTGCGATTAAGTATGGTCTTTTTCTGATCCCCCCCCCCCCCCACACACACACATCGCTCTCACTAATACCTGATCGTTCCGGCTCCGACCGGTGTGCAGCTTACCGCCGACCTCATGACCGATGATTTCCTGCGAAGAAAGAAAAAAAAAGAAGTCTGTCGAGAGAATTAGCTTTTTCCCAATCTGGACGTCGATAAGCATTTGCTGTACAGGTATACACACATGTGTACTTGTTTTTCTTTTATTTCGATAAAACTGCCGATTATAAATTTAGCAGCGTACTTCCGAGTTTCTGCTCTTGAGGCATCGTAGCGGGTTCTCGAGCCTTAAGCCAAGGAGGTGAAATGAGCAGAGAGGTACCTTTATTATTCATATTTTTAGTATAAATATACATATGCATTCCTCGCCTCCAATGTTCGACGGTAAAGCCGGGGAGATCGATGGCAGCTGGCTTGTCAATTCACGGGCAAATGCAGCGAGACATAAACGAAGACAGGGACACCTAAAATGCAGACGACCACAGACGTATACAAATGAGTTTATTTGCTCTTCAACAGGCCTTTCTATGTACCATAGCAGGCTAAATCAACCGACCATTGATGAGAAAGACAAAATCACTTGAAGGAAAAGGACGACACTGCAGTGTAGCCAAAATCATTGTATGCCTGCCTTTCGCAGCTGCATGGTAATTAAGAGGCTGAAGCCACGACCATTGGGTTGTATCGAGTGTCCCGTATTGCATCGGTATGCGAACTCATATGCAGTATCACGAACCTCCGAGGGTTCTCATTTTATCACAACTCGTTTTCTTCCTTTTTTAATTTAACGGCAGCAGGTTTATATATAGACTATGTTGCCTGCGGCACATCGCCTACGACCATGTGTCGTAGGCGATGTGTGGATTCATGCATTCATTCATTGCCAAACCATTGGTAGCACAGAAGGAGATCCCGCACTTACAAAACTGTCAGCTGGTGTATATGTATATATATATATATATATATATATATATATATATATATATATATATATATATATATATATATATATATATATATATATATATATATATATATATATATTATATATATATAATGTAAGAATACTGTTAGACGCCACACCAGGGTGATGCAACCGTTTAATGGGCCGAATAGCAGCGAGACAGCAGCCAGCGGTTTTAGCAGCAGCTGCAGCAGCACGAGCCTCTGCCACAACAAACGTCTTCTTCGTCGTCTCTAGCAAGGCCGAATTTTTGTCACTACATTGACTCCCTGGTGCAAAAGGAGCCATCCTGGCGACCTATAGCACAGGCACGACTGGTGGGTCGTAGTGAAGTTTTAGACGGTCGACGTGCACAGTTTCACGCCCGCGGCGCCGTTGGTCTGTAGAGTGAATGAATAGGTTCAACCATGTAGTTGACTGGTGATGTCTGGCGCAAGATCCTGTACGGACCGTCATAGTTGGGTGTGAACTTTGAGCAAAGGCCTGGGGCAGACGATGGCACGCGGAGCCACACAATTGTTCCAGGCACGTACGACGATGGAGATGAGCGTTGGTCATGGGAGCCCTTCTGGCAAGCCTGATCGTGCGTAATAAGCGCACGTGAGAGCTGCCGACATTCTTCGGCATATGTGGCGGCTTCGGCCAAAGTCGTCGATTCTGAAGGGTCTGGGCGGTACAGAAGGATAGTGTCCAAGAACGATGAAGGTTCCCGACCATAAAGAAGGAAGAATGGGGATAATCCAGTTGTCGATTGAATTGTGCTATTGTAAGCGTAAGTAACGAATGGCAGTACGCGATCCCAGTTCGTATGGTCCTCAGAAACATACATAGAGAGCATGTCACTCAGCGCGCGATTAAATCGCTCGGTCATCCCGTCGGTTTGGGGATGGTATGCGGTCTTGTTCGGTGCACGATGTTGCATTTGCGTAGGAAGGCTTCTACAACATACGACAAGAAAGAACGCCCACGGTCACTGAGAAGCTCGCGGGGTGCAGCATGCCGAAGGACGAGGTTGTGCAGAATGAACAGTCCGACTTCACGCGCAGTGGCCTCGGGAAGCGTGGAAGTTTCGGCGTAGCGCGTAAGGTGGTCCACGGTGACGATGACCCAGCGGTTGCCATTTGGTGTGTATGGTAGGGGACCGTACAAGTCGATTCCGATGAGGCCGAAAGGCCGAGAAGGACAAGGCAGTGGCTGGAGTGGCCTTGTAGATGCGCGAGGGGAGCTCTTCCGGCGTTGACACAAGGAACATGAACAGACGTACTGCCTAACAAAGCGGTACATTCCACGCCAGTAATATCAAATTCGTAGGCGAGCATACATCTTCACTACACCTGCGTGGGCGCATTGCTGATCCGCGTGGAAGGAGGCACAGACGTCAGAACGTAGGTAGCGAGGTATTACCAGCAACCATTTGCGGCCATCAGATAGGTAGTTTCGCCGGTACAGGAGACCGTCATGGATGGTAAAATGGCGAGCAGTTCATCGAAGTAAGCGGTTGTCGGTACGTGGAGACGTCTGAGACAGGTACTCTAAGACAGACGCTATCCATGGATCCTGGAGTTGCTCAGCGGACATGTCGGCCTTTCAAGTGAAGAACATACGCAGCTGGAAACAGACGCTGCAACATAATCTTGGGGAAGTGGCGAGCGAGAAAGAGCGTCGGCGTCCGAATGCTTGCGGCCTGACCGATAAATTAAACGAATATCGTAATCTTGGAGACGTAGTGCCCAGCGAGCTAGGCGACCAGATGGGTCTTTTAATGACGACAACCAACACAATGCGTGGTGATCAGTCATGACGTCAAATGGGCGGCCATATACGTAAGGTCGGAATTTCGTGATTGCTCAAACAATGGCAAGGCATTTGTCACAAACCGAGCGCTCAAAAAAGGGCGCGCCGCCAAATTCGCGCGACGAAGCGCCGAGAGGTCAACGATAAAAAAAGAAAACAAGCATCCAAAGACTCCCCGTGCGCGCGTCCATCTCCCCTCGGAAGCGTGGGTTCGCCGACGAACCTCCTCTCATCGGCGCCCGAGCAAGCCCTGGAACGTTCTAGATGGAAAGGGGCGTGGTGACGCAGGGCTGCGTCATCCGTCGCGGACGGCCCTCGTACCGTCTCGCCCTTTCCCCAGCCTTCCCTGCGTATCGCGCCGACGAAATAATGAGAACTTTCTGGAATCTCACGCGGAAGGTATTTAACCGAGCAGCAGAGATGGGAGATCAGGAGAAGAAGGAAGTTAACGCCAGAGTGCGTTGGGTATCCCGCCGCGTCTGTCGGTGAAGGTTTTGTCCTTAGTGACAAAGAGGGAGGAGAAGAAAGTATGCGCCAGAGTGCGTAGGGTGTTCCGCCTTGTGGGCGAAGCCTTTTGTCTTCCGTGACAAAGGAGGAGAAGAAGAGGATTTCCACCTGAGGGGTGACGACTCGAGCTACAGACAAGAGTGTGTGTCTACCGCTATCGAGCGAAGACGCGTGGCAACAGCTGCGAGTGTGAAGCCGACGTGTTTCCGGCGAAGAAGTTTGAAGCTTGGAGAGCAGCCAATTGAAGACGCGAGGTTTCCTGGAAGAGAAACTTCGGGGGCAGCGGAACGACAACAACGGTGGACTTTGAGTGAGTGATTCTCGGAAGAGTATCATCCAGACTTTTGTTCCAAGAACTTTGGACTGAATAAGTTTTCTAACTCTATAGTCTTTAAGTGTATTGGTTGTTCGATGCATGCGACTGCATTGTAGTGCGAATTGTTGTCTGGGTCCGTTGATTCGAGTGTGGCTGATTGTACTGTGTAGTACATTGTTTGGTTGGTGACATCGTATTCAACTATTGTCGAGTGTGCATACTTGTGTATCGTTTTGATCTGCCATAATTGAGAATATAATTTTGTTTTGATTATCAACTCTCGGCTCTGACTTGTTCTTTGCCACAGCCGGCGTCCGCTGGCGCGGTAAATAGGACCACTTCAAAATTGTCCACGCTTTTGTGGTGTGGTTCGGGGGGCCGATACTTCGGCCCTTGGAATTAGCCCGGCGATTGCCTCCCTTATTAACGGGACCCGTGACAGCATTCTTTCTCGGTGACTGAATAGTTCTTTTCCGCTTTAGTGAGGGTGCGACTAGCGTAGGACACAACATACTCATCGAAGCCAGATTTACGCTGAGCAAGAATAGCGCCGAGGTCAACTCCACTAGCGTCCGTATGGATTTTGGTTGGAGCGTCTGGATCAAAGTGGCGTAGGATAGGTGGTGATGTCAGAAGATGGCGTAAAGACGCGAATGCTTCATCGCATACTGGGGACCACGCCGAGAGGTCTTGGTTGCCGGCAAGTAGCTGCGTCAGGGGTGCGATTATGGTGGCGAAATTGCGCACAAAACGGCGAAAATATGAGCAGAGCCCGATGAAGCTGCGGAGTTCTTTTAGTGTAGCCGGCCTGGGAAAGTCGGCGACAGCGCGAAGCTTGGCTGGATCAGGACAGACACCATGCTTGCTAACAACATGCCCTAAGATGGTAAGCTGGCGGGCAGCGAAGTGGCATTTCTTCAAATTCAGCTGCAGTCCAGCGTTCGAAAGACAAGTCAGGACGCTTGCCAGACGGCTGAGGTGGGAGTCGAAATCCTTCGAAAAAACGACGACGTCCTCCAAATAGCACAGGCATGTGTTCCATTTAAAGCCTCTAAGGATGTTGTCCATGAGACGCTCGAAGGTGGCAAGCGCATTACAGAGGCCGAATAGCATGACGTTAAACTCGTACAATCCGTCAGACGTTACAAACGCAGTCTTGGAGCGGTCGGCTTCATTCATAGGGACCTGCCAGTAGCCGGATCGAAGATATAAAGAAGAAAAGAACTCTGCTCCTTGCAGGCAATTGAGGGCGCCATCGATTCTGGGCAGCGGATAAACATCTTTTCGGGTGATCTTGTTCAGACGCCTGTAGTGAACGCAAAATCTGATGCCGCCGTCCTTTTTTTTTTTCACCAGTACCACCGGAGAGGCCCAAGGGCTGTTTGAAGGTTTTATCACACCGCCGCGTCGAAGCATATCGTTCACCTGATCATCAATGGCACGGCGTTCAGCGTGAGAAACTCGATATGGGTGCTGGCGCAAAGGTGCATGGCTACCGGTGTCGATTTTG